AAAAAGATTTATTTATTTATTAATTTATTAGATGGAACATTAAGAGGAGGAATAAGAGACGATAATGCAAGAATTAAATCCCCTCCTACACTTCCACCAGTGCTACCTCCTGCCTTTCTGGGGTCTCCACTGGCACCTCATCTCTTCCCCCGGTAGCATCCCTGTTGCTGCCTCCAAAAGGCAAGGGATATCTTTAGATATCTCTTTATGAGCAAAAAAGAAATTCTAAAATAGTACTGCCTTCCAAACCCCACCACAGTACACAATTCAACCAGTGAACCACCTCTTGTGCAAGGCAATTTCCTATTTGACAATAACTCACCAATGGTCTAAATATAAATAAGCTACCAATTGGTTTTCTTTGGATGCACAACCTTTTTCAATGCTGAATTGGTTTAACCAGAATAATAATAATCTGCCCTACAGAGAAAATCCCCACCCAAGGACTGTATCCTTTAACCTGTAACTTTGCAACATATCACCCTTGTTGGGGAGACTCTGATGAATATATTGTCAACATGTGATGAAAAGAGAATGGTGATGAATAAGGCTACAGAGAAGGTGCTTTGGCTCCATCCAGGAGACCCAAGTGGAACCCTTGCTACTAATACATGCATTCCAGCGGCAGATCCAGATCGCTCCTTTGGAACACTATCAGTGATCCACTCTAGTAGGCTTAAGGAAAGGGGTGCCTAGACAAGAGTCTCAACAATTATGACAAAATACAAAGAAGGACCCATTCCAACCCTTGAAGAGGCTATACAAAGCATACAGGAGGTCTACTGACATTGACTTTGAGGGACCAGAAAACATAAGAATGGTGAAGATGACATTTAAAAGCAGGACACCCCAGACATTAAAAAGAAACCTGTAAAGGATTCAAAGAGCTTTGGGGATAAACTCATCCCAGTTGTTGGATATTGCATCTAATGTGCGTAACAAAGAGAACAACTGCAGGAGGAGGATGCCATGTTTCTTTGCTGGCCACTTCCTTAGAATCTTAAGAGAAAAATTCCCTTGAGAAACTAAGGCTCCTCTGGGCAAGGATCAACATACCTACATTGATGTGTAAAAAGGAAAGACTTTTGAAGAAAGGTTGTCCTGAGTTGAAGGAGGTACAAACAGCCAGAAAACGAAAGACTCAGGCCTTGAAGATACTGGAAAAAGAATATTCAGATACAGAATGAAGAGGCCCAGGGGCCCCCTTGGATTAAGACACCTGACAGACATTTTCCCCACAGGGGCCCCGGGTAAACTTGGCAGCGAGGAACAAATATATTTCCTGATGGACACAGGCAGCACTTAAGTCAGTACTGAGTAACATATCTTAGTACTGTTTTCATTCCCTTCCCTCCATGCTCCAACACTTGTTCCCCTTCCCACTTGCAAAAGCTCTATTTCCATTCATTTTTCAGTTATTCTTTTCATTCTTTTGCCTTTTCTTCCCCCCTCCACCTCTTATTCCTTCCCGTTTGAAAAAGATCTCCCTACTGCCTCTTACCTATCTTCATACAAATAACTTCAAAAGAGGTTGAAATCCAGTATAGGAAGGGACAAATGGCAGTTTATACAGAAGGGCCCCGGATTATATAATCAGTACAAAAGTCTGGAGATACCTGTTCTGCATTTGCAGGATGGCTTGCGTGCGTCTTCAGATCCTCATTTCCAACTTGGGTTAAACTGTCCCATCCACCAACACCCCTCCTTCACCCACTGTCAGCAGCCAAATTAGCCACAGCAGTTACTGCTTCTCATCCCAGCCGATCACGGAATGGAGCTGTGAGAGGACACAGCCTTCCTTAATCATTTACACAGCAACAGGTGATTTCTATGAAACGTCCATCTCTCCTCCCCTCCAGGGACTGACGCAAAACAATGTATCACCAGCTACCAGGTTTCATCCATCGTTTCCTCCTAAACAGAAAAGCTTTAAAACCTGCGTTAACAGGGCCTCTCAGGAAATAGTCCACCATCTTCTCAGTCTTGTCAGCTTACCAAACCTTTTTCCTCGACCCAACAACCTGTCCTTCACTCACTGGGTCTTTTTCAAGCAGCAAGTGAATGGAGTTAGGTGCAGTATGGCCAAAGAGAAAATATTTGATTAACTTAGCCTGCAAATTCAGTTATAAAGTTTAAAAAAAGGCATCAAAGTCACAGAGACAAATACTCCCCCGCCCCAGAAAAAGAAGGGAAATCACAGATTTGATCAAGAAATAATATGCCAGGATATGTACTGAGAGCCAAAACAGATTCATCTCAATGATCCTCCAATTGCAGCACAATGTAGTGACTAATTTTCCTAAATCAGTTAAAAAAATTAATCTCTGGATTTAATTAGTTTAACTAATGTACTCAGGGCTAAATAGGCAAAGTAGAGGTATCAAAAGAAGTATAATAGCTATTTGTTGAGTTAATTAAATGAATGAAAACAATAAAAATGATAGAGACTATCCTTAGGAATTTAAGATATAGCTGGAAGGCAAAATTGATATAAAACAAAGTTAATTATTACTTTTTTATTACTTTTTATTAGCATTTTTGTCAAGTTAGGGCGAGGATATGATTTCTTCATTTATACATTTTCATTCAAAAAGTATGAAAAAATATTTGTGATGTAACGTATAATCTTGAATATCTAGAAGAGTCTTCCTCCTTTACTGGATAACAGAAGCAAATAAATTAGGTGATCTTCTTTGTCCCAATTATTTCCCCTCCAAAGTAGTCAGAAATAATTCTCAGCCTAAAAGGTATTTACAATCCCTCATAAATTGAGTATGAACACAAGTATGAAAAGAGTACAAATTTTAAAATCTCAATGCAAAATTTTAATACATTGTTTTTTGCTTTTTGTTTTTTGTTTTTTGTTTGTTTTTTTTTTTGGTTTTTTGAGACAGGGTCTCACTATGTCGTTGAGACTGACCTGGAACTCACTATGTAGCCCAGGCTGTTCTCGAACTCACAGCAATCCTCCTGCCTCAGCCTCCCCAGTGCTGGGATTACAGGTGTGAGCCACCACGCCCGGCTTAATACATTTGTCTTTAACCATTAACTTTTTTTTAATGCTAACCACAGGCTGGACTATGGACTTCTTAAAGCCAGGTATCAGCTACAGATGAGTTTTCTGGTCAAGAATTCACTGAAGTTCTCAAATTCTGAGCATAAGGCAACAAACAGCTGGCAATTGATTTTAGAAACAAAATGTAAGCATGAAATTACAAAACTGTTTTAACAGGTCAGTCAGAGTAGGTGGACAATTCACCTAGAATGCAGCAGAGTAAAGATTTATCTGTTTTAATGTATCTCCATATAGTCCACCAGTTTGATAAAAGCTGGGGAGGATTAGAACAGTTTAAAAGGTTTTATTTCTCTTTTTTTTGTTTCTTATTTTTTGAGACAGGATCTCACTATGTAGTTCAGACTGCACTGGAACTCACTGTGTAGCCCAGGCTGGTCTCCAACTCTCAGCGATCCTCCTGCCTCAGCCTCCTGAGTGCTGGGATTACAAGCGTGCGCCACCACGTCCGGCATTAGGTTTTATTTCTTAAAGTGTACAGAAATACACTTAAAGGTTAATTCACATCTCAATGTCAGTACTTTAGCAAAAGACATTACTTTCTTCTTAACCCATTTATGCCTAACGTTCCATTCTTGGAATAGCACAAATAATGGAACATAATAAAATTTTTTCTCTTCAAATTTTTCTTTAAATTTGTCTAGGTGTGAATTTCACGCAAAAAGTCAAAAACTTGCGACCTTGGTGTAAATGGGTTAATCACAAGTCAAATTGGCCTCACTGATAACTGCATAATTTGACATGTCTAGCAAGGGGAATTTACAGCCTGAGTGAAATGCTGTAATGAAATGCACATAACCAAAGGCCAGTGGGTGAGACTGGGCAAGAAAAGCTACCTCCTCTTTCTGCACGAACTCTTCAACTTAGAAGCACCCCACCTGAAGCCATCCTAAACTACATTTCTGAATCTGGAATGGTGATGCACGATACATTCTAGATATTATTAGGTCTTGCCTTTAGCAGATCTGTTCAATAGCTAGCTTTATTTACATTTAACTTCCCGATATCCTGAAGAGTTAAGAAAACTATTTCAAAGATAAATTTAAAATAATTTTTAAGAAATCAGGAAACTTGATTTAGAACATAGCTTTGACTTAAAAAACTATTATATTGAATTTTAGTATGTCCCACTCATATTTTTGCACAGATTTTCAATATATAATTAAGTCACTGCTTAAATAATGTTTATTTTCAAAAGATCTGTGAAAGGGGTCAGGGAGTTAGCCCAGTGGTTTCGCTGCCTACTTCACAGGTTCAAGGACCAGAGTTCGATCCCTGGCACACAAAAAAAAAGTTACTTTTTAAAGTACAATATCTATCCCAGTAATGAATGTAACTGTACTATATACCTAGAATGTACCAATAAACTCAATAAAAAAATAAAGTACAATGTTTATAATTTTGAAAGGTGACATACAAACCAACATGAATCCAGTGACACTGAAGTTATCACATTATTCCCCACAAGAGTTTAGCACAAAAAAAGAAATGTGATATTTTGAATTCAGTTTGTCTTTATCTCTATTACCAGCCAAATATTCTTTCAAAACTAATGCTTTGCTTCTTGTAAAGACATTTAACTATTATTACTGCATAGTTGTTATATGAATGATTACTTATGAATAATTATTTACTACCTTTCTAGAAAAATGTTAGGATAAGAATCATTATTACATCACTAATGCAAAATACTTTTTTTGTGATATTTGGGATTGAACCTAGGACTGCTGAGCTATAGCCAACACATTTTTTTTTTGGTGGGGGCGGGGCTGGGGATTCAACTTGGGCCCTTGAGCTTGCAAGTCAGGCACCAGAACCACCGAGCTAAATCCCCAACCCTTTTTTAAAACAATTTAACAGGGTCTTGTTAAGTTGCCCTGACTGGTCAGAACTTGCCTCAGTCTCCTGAGTAGCTGGAATTGCAGGTATATGCCACCACTGCTGGCCCACAAAATATTTTTAATATATTTCTTATACATTTTTTAAATAGCTCACAATATTGAGTTATTTTCTGAGTAAAAAAAAAAAATCACTCCCCACATTCATGATCTGTGCAGCTCATTACTGTGTCAGATATTAAAACCTTAATATAAGGATTAGTCCTCATCACCTTTGAGAATTTCTAAAGAATGGGTCAACTGAACCATACTTGAATTTACATTATTGAATTATTTTGCCTAAATGCTTAACCAAGGTAACACCTCTCTAAGAAATAGTCTAACTTGATGTCTTTATGTAACTGATACTATTTTTTTCCAACCTGTAGCAAAACCAATGTCCTAAGAACATTTACAAACAATATGTTTAATGTTAGCAAGGTTGCCGAAGCACTGATGACTATTCTGTCAATACTATTGTGGCAAAGGTTAACGTCAGAAAATTCAACCTGACACAGTGAAAAAATTCATCACAATGCAACGAATAATTTTGCACTTCTGAGATTAAAATATGTAAGTTAATACCTGTTTACATCCCTTGCAAAATGTCAATATACTAAAATTAATGTAGCACATAAGGTAATCAATGGTAGATGACAATACCCTTTAGCTAAAACACAGCTGGTCACACACTGTTCTTTTCAGACAATCATAAACATGAGAATCAACATTTGTAGCATCAATAATTGATTAGTAAATGCCACCCACGTAGGTGCAACTTATAACCAATAACCAAAGTGATTCAAACCATTATAAATGAACAATCTCTAGTCATATCAGAAGTTGTAATCCTCCATCCACCACTAGAACGTGTCCTGTAACATATGGAGATTCTAAAAGAAACACAATCGCATGTGCCACTTCAATAGTTTCTCCAAACCTCCCAAGAGGGATGCTTTTCTTTAAATGTTCTTCTTTCAAGTGTTTTGTCATATCTGTACGGACAAATCCTAAAAGAGAAATGTTTATTTAGTGGAAAAGAGTACACACAAAGACATCTGCTCAATTTAAAAAACAATTGAATTTACAACTGAAAACGAGATTAATAAACCTTGTTTATAAAATACAGAGTTCTGCTGCCAATTAACTGTCTACAAATTTACTTAGTTTACTCAATGAACACTTACTAAACACTAAAATATCTTACCCCCAGTATTTGGCCCAACTCCTAGCAAAAATGTAAGGCCAATGCTGCATCATGTAGTGGGTGGATATAAACATGAATGAAACAAAATTCTATTCCTTGGGGAACATGTAATTGATGGAGGAAACAATCACTTGCACAGCCAATTAGATGTAAAAAGTCAGGTGAAAGAGGTATAAATCAAATCCCCCAAAATGAGTTTTACTTGGGTAGGGGGAGAAGAGTAAGAAGCAGCGTCAATGAGAGAAGAGATTCCAAAGGTGGTCTCACAAACTGATTTGGCAATGCTGACAAAAACTATACATTTCCATTTGCTACAGATAACGGTGATTAGAAAGCTCAGTGTTTCCAATATCTGCATAAAGAAACAGTATTTTATGGTCATATCCTATTCTGGTGCAAATATATAGCAAAAATTCAAAGTTCAACTTGGTATTGGTACATGTAGGCAATAACAGTTTTAGAGAACATGTTTCAAAGTTCTACAGTATAAAGTACTACACAGTCTATTAAGCAACTAATTCTAAATTATACATATATACAAGAAAAATTATAGATATATGAGACAATCTTTCTGAGACATACATATAAATATATATTACTAATAAAATGCTTAACCCACAGCCAATATTTTGTGTATTACTGAATCATTTGGGTTTTTAAAAAGAAATTGTAATATTAATCTTTGTAAAAGCAACAGTTTGAAAAGCATTGTTAAAGTTCAAGAACATAAAAAATAGATGGACTGTATCCCTAAAAAGTACCAATAAACTCAATTAAAGCTGAAAAAAACAATAGATGGACTAAAAATCAGGTGTGTCACATGAGAGTTCAATGTACAAACTCAAAAATAAGGTTTTAAAATTGGCTTCTGTTAAAATTAAAACATTCATCATAATTCAAACTATAAATCAACCTAAGTATACTCTCATGTAAAGTACCACTAAAAAGTACCATTTAAAGTAGCATGATAAATGTGAACCAGTTACTAGATTAAGAATTAATTAGTATCCGACACAGGGGTGCATGCCCACAGTCCCATCATGTCTGATGTTGTTCTGGACAACTTAAGACTTTCTCTCAAACAAATGTAAAGAAAAAGAATTGAAGCAGTGGGTTAACTTCATTAACTTAACTTTAGATTTTCACTCGTAAATATCTAAATATTTTCTTAAGTCTTGTAAGAAGGAATCAGATTCTTCTATCATGAAGCTTATGCCAGCAAGATTGCTAGGAGAAAAATTGTAAATAAGCTGAAGGTCTTCCAAAAAGGAACTGGTTAAATAAGGTCTTGATGCTTCCACACAGTAGAATGATATGCAAGTTTTAACAATGATGCCACAGAAGCAAATGAAAAAAATAACATTTGTATATTTAAAATATTATAAATGTTCAGTTATATCACTATTAAAACAAAAACTAATATATAATAACTAAAATACACCAAAATATTAACAGTGATTATCATTAGGTACTGAAATAACAAGTGATTATTTTCTTTGAACAACTGTCCACAACAGATTTATAGTATTTTTGTACTGAGGCAAAAAGTTACTGAAAAGTATACAAGTTCTAATTTCAGACAGTCTTTAATGAGGGCCGGAAACAACACAACTAATTTTGAATTATTTCTGTGTTATATTGTGAGATTATATTGTGAAATCCAACCTCCTCTGCCATAAAATCTTACATTTATTTGAAAAGCCAGCAACATTTCCTTTGTTTCCTTTCATCTCTAAGAACAATGAAAGCAGGCAAGAATAAAAGGAGAAGCAGCTGGCATAGATAATGATAACCAGCCTCTGGAGGATTTCAAGTGAACTGTAAATGAAACTTACAGTAAAGAATTGTAATAACCGACAGACAATCCAATCATCTTAGGAACACTATCATGGGGGCTGATACAGTTATCTTTCTTTGGACATGTTTATTTTCAAAATTGCCTCAGAGAATATCCTAGGAAGAAAATTCACCTGACATCTATTACAAAAATTAAAAGAAAATTATGAATGTAACATTAAAAAAAATCGTGTTATCCTCTCAAAGAGTTCATGACACAATTATACATTATCCTAAGGTCTTTTTGAATTCTAGCAAAACTGACATAAACTATTGCCGACTAACTCCACAAACTTTCCTCAAGAAAAATCAATGATTCATTTTTTTGTTTTTGCAGAATGGGGGACTGAACCCAGGGCCTTCGCACCGAACTACATCCCCAGACCTTTTTAATTTTTGACCTTTTTCTTTTTTAAGACAAGGTCTGTGAAGTTGTCCAGGCTGGCTTCAAACTTGCTTTTCTATGGCCTCAGTCTCTGGATTAGCTGGGATTACAAGAATGTACCACTATTCCTGGCCAATAATGCAGTTTTGTTTTGTTTTTGAGATAGGGTCTCACTATATAGCCATGGCTGGCCTCAAATTCAAAATACTCCTGCCTCAATCTCCCCAGTGCTGGTAATTACAGACATATACTACCATTCCCAGTTTAAGTATTCATTCTAATCTATAAAAAATAAAACTAAGCAGGGTGTGGTGGAACATCAATAATGCCAGCATTGGGAGGCTGGGGCAGGAGGATCTCGAATTCAAGGCCAGCCTAGATTGCATAGTGAGTTCCAGACCAGCCTGGACTACGTAACAGATTTGGTTACTTGTACACACACACACACACACACACACACACACACGAAACTGTAGCAGAAATGGTTTGCAATAAAGACCCATGTGAGTATGGACTAGAAATTCCAGGCTCAACTTCTATCTGGCTCTGGTGGCAGTATTTTATAGTAAAAGGACAACAGGGCTATGATCTGAGGAAAGCTATTTACAACTATATACCTGTTCTGTATCATAACATGAATGGAGTACATTTAAAATGATACATTTTTGAGGTTTATCTCTACAAACCTTTGATTTAAAGATGAAAAGTATGCCTAAGTAGAACTCATGATTTCCTAGTATTAGTTGATGTTTAGAAAAGGGAGCTCTCCTCAGAACTGGCTCATTCCTTCTTGCTCTCGGCGGGGGGTACTGGGGATTGAACTCAGGTCCTTGTGCTTGCAAGGCAGGCGGTGGAACCACCAAGCTAAACCCTCAGCCCCAAACCTATGAATTTACCTTTTTTTTTTTGGCAGTACCAGGGATTGAACATAGGACCTTTCGCTTTTGAGGAAAATTTTAAATTCTTTTTTTTTTTTGGTACCGGGGATTGAACTCGGGTCCTTGCGCTTGCAAGGCAGGCCACCGAACCACTGAGCTAAATCCTCGGCCCCTCCTCAGAGGTGGCTCGGGGAATCACAGATATAGTCTGTGTCTGTGTTAGGCGAGATTGGAAAGAGAGAGCAGTGCCCTCTGAGTCCAGCATGGTTACAAGAAGTCCAGAACTAGGACTATGATGTCCAGCCACCCACTCCACAGGAAGGTTCTTCTGCCACTGCTCAAGCATAGAAGATAAGGATCTTATTTCATTAGCGGAAGCTTAGTACAGCCTCTCCCAGATCTACGAACGGACACCTGGAAAGGCAAACCTCACATCACAGACAGCTCTGAACCATCAAAGAACTACATAATAAAAGTCTAAAAGCAGTATAGGTGTGAAGCGAAGTTGAAAGGAAGGGATGAATTCACCAAAACATACTGGTTTTTTCCTCTTACATTATGTTCAATACGGTGGACAAGAACACGTTCAAAGAGGCTTTCTCACCAGGCATAGTGGCACACACCTATAATCATAGCACTCAGAGTGAGGCAGGAGGATCAACAGGAGTTCGAGGCCAATCTAGGCTACATAGTGAGTTCAAGGCCAGCCTGAACTACACTGTGATACCCTCTCAAAAATACAAAAAACAAAATAAGATCCTTTCTCTTACCATACCTAAAGTTTTTTGTAGATTTAGCACAATTTTAGGTTTACAGGAATATTAAACAGAAAGAACATAAAGTCCCTATTGACCCCCTTACCACAATTCCCTCCCCCTATCTTTTCCCTATTCTTTTACTTCAGTGTGGTACATTTATTACAATGGCTGAACCAATATTGATACAGTATTAAGGAAAATCTAGAGTTTACATTAGGGTTCTTTGATAGCTAACTGATTGTATCAACTTAAGTAAGAAATGCCCAACTAAATTGGTTCAGCACAGTTGTGGGTGTGGAAGACCCACCCTTGGGAGGACTGGTGCCAAAATGGTATAAAAGGGAAATGAAAAAGGAAAGTTGGCTTCTGTTTCTTCACAGGAGCTCAAGTCCTCCCTCCCCTTCACCTAAGGCACTGTCTCCTGGCTTCCAGGGCAGAAGCTCCAGCCTTCTTTTGTTTTTTGTTTTTTGTTGTTGTTGTTGTTTGTTTTTTTGGTTTTTTTGGTACCAGGGATCAAACTCAGGACCTTGCACTTGCGAGGTAGGCGGCGGAACCACTGAGCTAAATCCCCAGCCCTGCTCTCTTGATACAGACTCACACAGGACACGACAGTGAGATCCAGACCGTCAGCTGAATCCTTTGGTCTCCAGTGTGCAGACAGATCCTCGGCACTCTTCAACACCTGACTTGGCAAATGGCCATTGGAAGCCAATGTTGTAAATTCTCATATATTTGTGTATCTTGCATAAAATGTTTCTAGTAAGCACTGACAGACACAGACTCCCTCTAGTTTGTACAGTTCTCTGGATTTTAAGAAATTCATATAATGTTATACTAATTATAGTTATAAATAGTTTTACTGTCCTAATCAGCTGCAGCTTTAAAAATGCATGCATATCATCAGAAACTTTAAAAATGGGAAACCAGTCTCAAATGATAAATTACTTTGAGATCTACCAAATGTCAGTGACATTTAGTGCTCACCTTATGAATGACATGACCCTCATTTACAAATATATTCCCAACCCAAGGCACTAAACATAAACAGTCTTTCGGTTAGTCATTAAATATCGCACACACCTATCTTTGTGTTTGTATTACTTTACAATCTGTGCTTTCTTTCCCTGACCCAAAAAAACTCTTTCTCATGTTACTCTTTTACTTGGACAGTTCTGGGAATTTTTCTCTACTCTTCCTTTCATTAGTATGTACTTACAATGACTTTAGAGCTGGACTATAAAAATTAGAAACTACCAGTAGATGCCACTGTCCAACAAATGATATTACAACATTACTTTATTGGACAGGGGTTTCTAATTGTTACTATCACTCCTTAAATCAATAAATAGGTAACTGAAATGGCATGCACACAACCAACCTAGAACAAGGACATTTCTATTTTAGTGCCACATAGGTAATAACACACCCGGGACTATTTTCTTTTCAGTGTTGGGGACTGAATTTAGAGCCTTGTACATGCTAGGCCACTGTAGCACTGAGCCACACTCTCCCCTACATTTTTTTTTAACATGAACTCCTTAGGAACAGGTATATTCTTGCTCTTACAGACAAGTGGATGGCTCTTGTCCAGTGGGAATTTATATTTGATAAACTCTGAAGGAAATGCTTCATTTATCCATTTCTGACTAGCTGTGTTATAAATAAACAGCAACATCTCATTTCCATATTACTATAAGTCACTATTTTTTCAAAATAGGTAAACTTTAGTTTTCAACATTTTATATACAACAGACTGTATACTTAAATAGGACATCAAGTACGTAGCCTATCACTGATACAGGCTGCATGTGCCTAATCTGAAATACTTAGGGCCCAAACCGTTTCATATTCAGGTTTTGCCAGACTTTGGAATATGTGCAGATAATAAGATATCATGGAGATAGATCCCAAGTCTAAACATGAAATTCATTTATGTTTCATATATGCCTTATAAATACAGCTTGAAAAGTAGTATTTCTTTTTTAGAGGGATATGCAATTGCTATTTTTATTTTTCAAATTATTTTTATTAGTACATGCTTGTTGTGCATGAAGTTTACATTCCTCTTGGGACGTAGGTACATGTACATAACACAGCTTGTATCTTTTATTACAAAATTCCCTTGCCCTTCCCATCTACCTCCCTCCCTCCATCTCTAAATCCACCTTTCCCCACTTTAAATCATTGTTATTATTATCTTGTTATGACCTATGTTTACATTCACTGCAATTATTAGACTCCTGTACACGGCATATCTTAACTTTTCTTACTCCCCTTCACCTCCCCTTCTCTCCCCCTCAAGGAATTTTTTCCAATATTTTTGGTTTTAATTACAAACCATCACATAAAATATGATATAAATTTTCCCTTATGGTGTCAGAATATTACAGGTTTTCAGACTAAGACGCTTACCCTGTAGTATCAGGTGCGATGTGGCATTATTTAATGTATCTACCAATTCAGATGTCCATTCTTATAGAAGTTTATAGGACCTAGAAAGAACTAAACTAACCCTAGACACTATACGGAAGAAAAAATAAGGTTCTTAGCAAAAAAGAAAATCCAAGATTTTAATTGGAACAAATCTGAATATCTAGGCAGTAAGTTTGTAGAGTGAAGCAGTGTAAGAAATCAACACCATACAAGATAGCAAGTAAAAACACTATCAGCTTTCCCATTGCTGGGACCTAATATCTCATACCCATAAGTTAAAGAAAGAGGAGTTTATTCTCACCAAGTCATAAACGTAAAAACTCTTCAATTTAAAATTCAGAAGTACCAAAACACGTAAGGTATTTTACAGAAATAAATTCAATGCCTATTTGGCAAAACTGTAAATGCACATACAGGTACAGTGGCACACACCTATAATCCCAAATACTCAGGAGGCTGAGGCAAGTGGATCACAAGTTCAAGGCCAGTCTGGGCAGGACCCTGTCTCAAAATTTAAAAGACAAAGGGTGGGGCAGGGGATGCAGCTCAGTGTGATGGTTTAGATTTAACATGTTCCCCACTGTCTCTGGAAAGTGACTGGACCAAGCAAGTGGTCCCCGATGAGTAGTACATCAGCGGATTAAACCAGTGATGCGTTCAGGACTGAGGTGCAGTGAGGAGATGGGGCCTGGTTGGAGGCGAGTCACCGGCCTGACTGGGAAGGTGTGTACTTGTCCTCCATTCCTCCCTTCTCTCTGCTCCTGCCAGTCGTGGGTTGAGCAGTTTTCCTCCTCCATGCCCTTCCATCCGCTGCCTCTTCCTTGGAGCCAGGCAGGCATGGACTGAAATCCTCCAAAAAGATGAGCCAAGGAAACCTTGCCTCATTTAAGCTGTGGGTGTCATGTGGGTGTCATGCATTTTGTGTCAGCAACAGGAAAGCTCACGTATCTACTACTACATTCAAGTGTTCCTTGTGTTCAATCCCTAGTACTGAAAAAAAAAGTGCATATTCCCTTTGAACCTCAGTTCCATCCCAGAATTACACTCATACACTTGCAAATGTGCAAAATTTATTATGCACAAGTACTGTCACAGTATTGGTAGCTGTAACAGAAAGGAATGAGAAACAATCTACTTGCTATAAAGAGGCAATAGATTAAATAAGGAACATCCTAAAACAAATATTATGAGGGTTTATCTAATTTAAAACAAATTATTGTCTTAGTTAAGCCATTAAAAGTGATGCAGCAATCACAAAATATCTAATATTTTCTTTTCCCACTTACATGAAATGTACAGAATAGGCAAATTTATAGAGATAAAGTAGTTTAGCATTGCCAAAAGCTGGAAAGATCAGAGAAATGGGGAGTGAATATTAACTGGTAAGGGGTACCTCTGGGATTATGAAAATGTTCTAAAATTAATGGTGGTAATGCTGAACAATTCTGTGACTATATTAACCCACATACATTTTTCATGAGAGAAGTACATGGTGTATGTGAATTATATTTCCATAATGCTGCTATTTTAAAAAGTTAAGTAGTTCTACTTGGAGTAATATGGGTTCATCACCAAGATATATTGCTATATGAATAAAAGGTACAGAACATTGTACATATCATTCATGTTTTCATACACACACACACACACACACACACACACCTACCTTATGGCTGGTTAATGTAAGCAAAGAATAAAATTAATCACACTGTACAAAACATACCCACGTAGAAAGCAATGCCAAGATAATGACACTGCATCTTTGGATATTTTTCTTTCTTCTTCTAAAAGTGAGTGCATTTCTTGAAGGCACAGTAAGCCTGTGCTTTTTTTTTTTTTGGTACCAGGCATCAAACTCAGGACCCTGTGCTTATGAGGCAGGCAGCGGAACCACTGAGCTAAATCCCCAGCGAGTACATTCAAACTGTAGCCATTCATCACATTTATCAAATGTTCATGGAGTTAAAATGTTGGAATTTAGTTAGTCTCTGTACCTAAACAATGAATTGGGACAAAACATCATAGAGCATAAAGGGTTAACAGAATGTTTCAATAAATCCCTGATACCTGCTGGCTTTAACATCAGTGCCAAAGAGAGCTGGGTATTTAGCTCAGTGGCACCGTGCCTCCCTTGTAAGAGTATGGTATGGGGGAAAAAATTGGTGCCAAAGAAAACACTAAGAGTCCAATGTAGAGCCATCAAAATGACCTGAAAGGGAAAAGTAGCTAAGGTCTACTACAGACCACCCTTTCTTGCAAACAACCAAGGAATCAAAATCAACTGTCTTTTCTTTACATATCACAGGTGGTAATTCCTGAACCCCTACTACAGTAAGACAGAGATTGCATAGCTAACTGATAGAGATACACAAAAACATTATTTCGTTCAAAAGTCAAGTAAATACCTAGGAGATTTCTAGCTAATGAGTGATAATGTAGAATTGAGTGTTAGCACCTTTTTATTACTCTCTTCAACAGTCCAAGTAATTTTATCAACTAGTAATTTGGCAAAACACTATAAAGGTAAAAGTTAGAAAATTGAAAAGCTCCAGTTTAGATAGACCACAGGAGCAAAAGGGATAAAAATACCTAAATGTGGTAATGACTATAAAGGAAATTTCAGAGGGCATTATTTGGAAGCTTTCCATAACCTGGCTGTGTAACCTTAGGTAAATCACTCAGAATCCTATGTCTCAGTTTTCTAAACTATGAAAATGACTGGAATGAATGCTAAGATCCTCTTTAGTTTCAGTTACCATAATTAGTGCAAGATTTACCATTTTTTAACAGTGTACAAGGAATTTTTTTCTAGTCACCAGTTCATTACTAGATTCTTTTCACACCATTCCATCTATATGTCAATTAGAATACCAAATAATGGGCAAATTAACAGCTTCTTTATAAAACAAAAATTATAATCAATAAATTTATTTTAATAAAAAAATTTAACTGACCTGGTGCAACTACATTCACTCTGATTTTCTTTTTTGCTACCTCTTTAGCTAGTGCACGAGAAAATCCAATTAATCCTCCTTTACTGGCACTGTATGCAGACTGGCCAGAATTGCCTTTTAAGCCAATTATACTGCCTAGAAGGGGAAAAAAGAACATAAATAAATTCAAACCAAGTAATGGTTACTTCAAAATTCCAGTAATTCATAGTAAACAAAACGCACAGCCCATTTCCCCCTACTCTATGCTAAAATTAGCAATTATAACCAATATCACTTGAGTAGTAAGACTAAAAAGACCACATTTATAGCAGACACAGAAAACAGGATAGGAAAGACACTGATATAAAACTATGAGCACCGGGCAGCAGGCTTTCAAATTGATCTCTGAAGTGAAAGGGCTCCACTCCAAGCCCTGAGTAAATCAGATATAATGAAAATTCCATAGCATATAAAGGAATTCAGCAGAAGTTAAAGCCAGAAAAAGTCAGATAAAGACTGAGTAAGATTATGATTCTATAGCTGAATACATAAGGAAATACTTCAGCCAAAAAAAAGTAATTCATCTGAAGATAAATCTCACTAAATTTCAACTATTATTAATCTAAATTAGTGGAACTTTTAACAATAAACTTTTTGTAAAAGTATAATTTTGCTATGTTTAGTGATGTAACTTCTACTGCCTACTAAAGATGCTTAAATGACCTCATTTAATGACTATGTAAGAATATGCTCTAATTCAAATGTCAACTGTATTCAAATACATGCTAGGAAATAAAGTGGAAAAGTAATTTCTTGCACCACTGACTTGTACTTAGGATACAAAAACTAAACAAGAACCTCATGAAATTTTTAATTTTACTTTCAAAAAAGAAAACATTTCACTTTTCCTATTATAATCAACAACTCCAATACTAAAACAGTTACCCACATTACACAGTTATGTATCATTACTGACAGGGATATATACTAACACACAAATTATTAGGTGATTTTACAATTGCCAAAATATAAAGCCTACTACTGAGACTATAAACCTGATCAGAATATTACTGTATTGAATACTACAGGCAACTATAAAGCAGTAAGTATTTGTGCATCTAAAGATAGAAAAGATACAGTGAAACTACTAGGAATAGAATTTTTCACCTCCATTTTAATTTATAATCATACATGTGGTCCTTCATTGACTGAAACATTATGTGGCACATAACTTTATACTGTTTGTATGCCAGTTAATGACAAAGGAAGAGAACTGTAAAGCACACAAAGAAAAGACATCAGACCAAGAAAATACAGATGGACAGAGAAAGGAATATATGGGAGAAAAAGAAATACACAAAGACAAAAAAATAAATAAAAGAAAGAGGGAAGGCTGCGGATTCAGTTCATTGGTTCCGTCGCCTGCCTCACAAGCACAAGAGCCTGAGTTCAATTCCCAGTACCAAAATTAAATTAAATAAATAAAGGAAGGAAAGGAGGGAGGAAAAAAGGGAGACAGACAGAGAGATAGAGAGACATACAGAATAACAGGCATGGAAAAAAGGTCAAAGAGAAAACTTGAATAGCTTTGGTTCCTGCCACATGCTACCATCCAGCTGGTCAAAAAGTGATAACTTCAGAAATACAGTAGCTCTTCCTGTAGTAAGAGTCTCTTAATTCATTCTAAAAGTATTACCTTGAAAAAAAGGAAAAAGAAAAAAGAAGAAAAAATAAAAGTATTACCTTTTGTAATAAAAAAGGTTTTGTGTACATCTGGGGGACTTCAGCTTTTGAAATTTACCTACAAGGGGTTATGTTAGATTTAAACAAATGTCCTCCATTGCCACATGATAGATGCAGGTCTCTGTGCTTATAAGAACCCAACGTCATCCTGGAACTGCATCGGAAGACAAAGGTCTACTCATTCACTAACCCTGGAGAAGAGAACAGCCCTTACAGAGCAGGACTGACTTGATGCAGCAGCATCCCCCTTTTGTGGCCTTTTACGGTATTACCACTTAAAGAAGCAAAAAGCAGATGTTGTGCTACTATTTTCAAATTACAAAACAAATAAAATTTCAAGTCATTTTGCACTTTAAGTTCTACAGGCAAATACTTCATAGTTTATTGTCCCTGTGGTTCAGATGAACTGAAGACTACAGGTTACTTACATCTATTCTAAAAACACTGAAAATTTTAACTTCCTTTAAACTTCTGCACTAGATTTATCAGTGACCTACGCAACTACTATGATTATTTGGCCCCTTAAGAAGTCCAATTTCTGTTGAAAAATCAAAACTGCTAACAAAAATGGACCACATTCAAGTGTAGCAATTATCTACTGGATCTGAGCAGTGATGGCCTCCACCATCCCCTATGGCCTCTGGTCACTGAACCTAGATGTTGTCATTTATCACAGGGCTTCGGTGCTATCATTTTTTCTAATGGTTGGTAATGGCACTCATTTAACACCTGCCTGACCCCTACAGGGATGTGAATTAGTGATTCCTCTTTTACTCACTGATCAGGTAACTAAAACCTTTTTCCACAGATAATACAAAGTTAAATTTCACAAGTTACAAATTAGTGGATTAAATAATAGTAGTAAAAACTTACCAACATTAACGATAGACCCTCCCTGTTGTTGAATCATCGTCCTCATGGCAGCTTTACACGTCAGCATGGAACCCAAGAGGTTGGTATGAAGCAGAGATAGCATATCTTCACTTTTTGTTCTTATTAAAAGACTATCCCTACAAAAAGAAACAGCATGTAAATTAATGAGATAAAACAAGCAAAAACAAAAGGTCAAAACATAAGATTTACGTAACACTTTGTTACTTTTTTTTTTTTTTTGTACCAGGGATCAAACTTGGGTCCCTACAACTGCCAGGCAATTGGGTCCCTACAAGCGCCAGAACCACTGAGCTAAATCCCCAGCCCTTTATGTAACATTTTGAATGAAAGCAAAGTATGAGAGGTACTAGAATACCTGGAGAGTTTTATTTTGAACTTGGCTTGAAAGCCACTAAAATAACAACTGATGGGCCAGAAAGGACACACTTCAATGGCAATTCCTACTTCTGTCAGCTACAGTAGCAAATATTCCTAACTATGATAACTAGTACCTATGGAGCCAAAATATTTTGAAGGGCTCAAAATATTTTGAGTAACTGCCTACTAAATCTTGTTTAGTAAGACAATTACTATGCTATTCTAAATATTGTCTTCTACATTCATCTTAAAAAAAAAAACAATACCTACCCTATGATTCCATTAGTATCAAGATTCATATACAGGCAAAACATATATGGTAACAGAACTCAAAACAATCGTTATCTACAAGAAAGTATTACTTGAAAACAAACTTAAGCTCATCTTCAGGAGTGCTAGAAACGTTCTATACGTCATTACTGGTGATGTTTACAATGTTAAAATTGACCAAACGGGACACTTATCTCAATAGAAAAGAAAAGAATGCAAGAATTGGTAAATTTTGTATTTGTTGGTTTATAGTACTAGGGATTGAACCCAAGGTCAGGCATACGCTAAGCAAGGGGTCTACCACTGAGTTACATCTCAGTCTTTTTCAAATTCTGAGACACGTTGTAAGCTGCTCACAGTGGCCTCTAACTTTCAATCCTCCTGCTTTCACCTCCCAAGTAGCTGGAATTTCAGACTTGTGCCACCACATGCAGTTCTACAAAGTTTTAAAATGCACACTTTTTCTTCCAACTAGAAATAAAATGTATTAACTTACACTAAGCAAAGACCTATTAAGGAAAACATTTTTTTGGGGGGGTACCGGGGATTGAACTTGGGTCCTTGCGCTTGCAAGGCAGGCCACCGAAACACTGAGCTAAGGAAAACATTTTTTAAAAAAAGACATTAGAAATTTACTTAAATCTGTGACCAACCTGTTAATACCAGCTGCATTTACCAAGAAATTTACTTGACCTAAATGTTTCTCCATCATTTCAAATGTATTTTGAACATCATGTTCTTTAGCAACATCACAGCTAAAAGCCAAATGATTTCCTATGAAACAAAGTTAAATCAGAATTACGTATAAATTATAACTTGAATTTTGAATTTTCTCAATACACATTTGTTAAGCATCTACTATGTAGTATACAGATGTGTGCCAAACCTAGAAATTACAGATAAGAGTCCCACAGACCCTTATATAGACTGTTCTATGGACTAGTCTAATGAAACTTGGCTGGGGTAAGTGGGAAACAAGTAAAGAAGTGTTACAGAAAGTTAATTTTTAAGACTTTGGGGGCCAGGAAGATCATTTGAGCAAGGAGTTCACGGCTAGCCTGGGTAACATTAAGTCCTCAACTCCTTTTAAAATTTAAAAATGAAAAATAAAAACTTCGGCCAGGTATAGTGGCATGAGCCTGTAAGCCAAATGGATAATACTGTGTAAGATTAATGTTTATAGCTTTAACACGAATCCATGCCACCCAATTCAATAGGTTTTATATCCCTTTTTGAACTTTATGTCTAATTCTTTTAGGTTGAACAGTACACTGCAGTGTCGGCGGTCTATCCCCCTGACTGCATGCCTGCTCGGAGCTAGGGCCCACTGCGCTGTCCAACATGGAGAGTATCATACCACAGATCACAAGCTTGGGGAAAGATCCAAGTTCAAACTCAATGAACGGTTTCTACTGAATGCATATTTCTCACATCATCGTAAAGTCAAATTATTAAGTCAGGTACATCTATTCTAAAATGTAGAATATTTTTTAAAAAGCTAAAACGATTATGTTCTGCCTGACTGCCAAATACATTTATACTAACATTACACCCTTAAGCCTTTGGAACAGTACCTCAGCTGGGAAAACACACTTTGTTAATGAAAACTTATCTCTCAGAGAACACAAGATTCAAAGAATGAAATGCCCAAAAGCATCACCTGTCTTCCTCTTAAACTTTCACTTGAAGATTTGTTGGGTTTACCCTTTAAAACTCAGTCAATGGTTTTAATATGGTCCAGGAAACCCAGGCTCCGGGTGACCCAGGAAGGAGGAGGGTATTTTCCGTCCTCTGTCAGAAGGGCAATAAAGATGTCTGCAAGAAATATTCTCTGAAACTCTCAAGCTTATACTTTTAGAGCCCAGTATTTTCCCAAACTACAGAAACAATGAGGCTAAAATGGTACCAACTCAACCAGCCACGTAACTGTAAAAGCAATATCCAGACGATACAACCTCAGGCCTCTATTTTTTTCTGTCTCGACAGTTAAGTGACTTGTATTTTTCTCCATTCTAATAATTAAACAAATACCATCATCTTAATACCTTTCAAACGTCCTATTTCTCTTTACCATCAAGAGAACCTTAAATCTGCAAATCATTATCGATAAGCATAAAAAAGGAAGTTTGAATAAAAGATTTAGCTAATCAAATTTAAATTTATAAAATTCAACATAACCAATTAATGAGTTATAAATATGCTTAACGAATGTAATAAAGCAAGCCAGATATGTCTCTAAACTAGTTGGTACCCAAAAGCGTTTCTCATCCAAACTATTCTGACTTCAAGCAGGGCAGAGCAGCCCCTGCAAAACCGCAGTGTGCCCTTCCTACCTTCAACGCCTACCTTTCCCGCCCAAACTCCTCAGCGCAGTCCTTTCCCGTACTTAAAAAATTAACTAGGGGGTGGCTATCTCCTACCAGATAGCAAAGCTAAATAGCCCCTCACAGTTTGCACCAGTCACAGGGAGGTGGATGATTACCGGGGGATGGGGTGGCTCGAGACTGCGCTGTCTTAAGAAACCAAGTACTGGGCCCTCGGTAGCGGGGCTGGGGGTGTAGAGATTCACCTCACAAGCCACTCTGCCCTCCCGATAGGATGCGAGGTCTGGGGCGGGGTGTCAGGCCCGCTCCGTCTACACGAGGCAACTGCAGGATTCAGGGCTGCAGTCACCACGCTGGACAACTCCCTTTGGTACCTACCGCCGAGCTCACCGGCGGCGGCTTTGGCCCCTTCCAGGTTTCTGGCGACGATGGCCAGTCGGTAGCCTTTCTGGGCCATTAACTGCGCCACTGCCCTGCCAATACCCCGGGAGCCCCCAAAAATAGCACAGACTTTGTTCATCTTAGACCCGCGAGTCGGCCGAGTCAGTGTAAACACAGCTGCGAGTGGCAGTCCCTTCCCAAGTACCCTAAGCTTTTAAACAACCGCGGTTCCAAACACAAAGACCGTAGGATCCCCCTTTTCCAGCCGCCAGACTTAGGAACTCTCAGAGGCCTCAAGGCAAGGACCTCCCTGTGCCAACGTCACCACGCACGAATCTGCGTCATTAGCGCGTCTACGTCAGCACGTACGGGCTCCCCCAAAGCGGCGCCCCTGAGAGAGTCCCTGCAGCGAGCTGGCCTGAGGACTTTTGCTGCATGCTGGAACTTGTAGTCTTTACTCACGCGAGTTCCATTTGGCCTCACTGGGGTAATAAGCACAGATGATCAGTCTTCCCATTTACTCAGACCCAACAGGGCTAGGAAGATAATGGACTTTCGCCAGCAAATCGTACTTGATCATTGTAGTTAGCCCTCAGAGTGTACACTATTGGGCATAGATGTGTCAGAGCTCCAGTGCTTACTTTTTACCTAGGTTTTCTCTTTGGCTAGGCTGCCGACCTGATATCTTGCCTATTGAGGAAATGGCCCCCAACTGTCAGACTTGCACCAAAACCTACCTGTCCCTCCCCGATTAACCTGCCGCATTCCATTCATTTCCAAGGGTGCCCTGACGATGAATTCCATCGTATAGAAGGAGTTCAAGAAATATTTGAATGATTTAAATAATCTTCCAAGATAAATGAAATAAGCTTAAGTTGCTATAGACAAAAATGGATTCCTGCAGTTCTACATACGACATGCTGAGTGCTGTTCGAGTAAGCTTTTTAAAAAAAAATGTGAACATTTGCTTTCATTACAATGAAAAAGGAAACATTTCTCCACATAATATGGTTGCACCAGATGTTTCACAAAAGTATAAACCATGGTCCCTACTTCTAAAATTATACAGTACAACTTGGGATAAGAGGACTAGTGCACATGAAACACTAGAGAGTGAATTCATATTTAGTAAAGTGCAAAATTATATTAACACAAGAACTCAGAGGAAAACCTGGTCAATAAGAGTGAAAGGGTGAGCCATTAATGGGGTGGCACTCACCTGTGATCCCAGTTAGAGAGGCTAAGGCAGAAAGAATCCAGGTTTAAGGCCACTGGACAATTTAGTGAGCAATTTAGTGAGACCCTGTCTAAAAATAAAAGGGGCAGGGTTGATGATGTGCTTAGTCGTAGAGTGCTTGCTGGGGTTGAGGTCATGGAAAATCTGGATATGAGCATTGAATGAAGTCTGGAACAAAGCGAGTGCAAAACGACTATGAGCAAGTTAGATATTTGGTTTTGTGGGTTTTTTTTTTTTTATTCCACATAGACACAAAAGGAATTTGAAATGGCTTTCAAAAATACATGAGCAAATTATTTGGAAAGACAAAAAGAATCACCCCCAACTGCTTCAAGGCCAGAACAATAAAATGAGGTCAGTGGAAAAGTTAATACAAGTAGAGTCATGTAGGCTGTAAGAATCTGTTTAGGGCTGGAAATGTAGTTCAGTAGTAGAGAGCTTCCAATCATGTATGAGGTCATGGATTGGATCCCCAGCACTGCAAAAACAAATAAACAAACAGAAAGAATCTAGTCAGTACTAAAGAAGGGGCCATGTGACTGAGGTTTCCTAGTGGTCAAAAAACCAAGGAAATAAAATTAATTCTGTGTAATAATTTCCATAAGAAATATGTATGTCTTTCTTCTGTAGCAAAGACATCTGAACAAAAGACATCCTCGTGGTTCCTCCTAGGGCACACTGAGCAGCATAATAGACCATGCTCTTCATGAGAGACAGAGAGAAAAAAAGATTTTAAGGCTATTTTACAGCATTTATTATGCTTTATTAACAGCAACTACAATAGAAAGTTAAACAATGTAATCAAAAATTCAGAATGTTCTTCTGTCTCTGAAACAATGAAGAATTAAGCCTGATTACAGGAAAACTGGGATGATGCTGGATTAAAGCAGGCTTTAATGTTTTAGCAAGCATTAAACCAGAATACTTTACAAGCTCAAGGACCCAAGTTCAATCCCCGGTACCAAAAAAAACAAAAAACAAAAACAAAAACAAAAAAAAAAAAAAAAAAA